GCCCTGGGTCTTCCTTTGAATGCCCAGCCGGACTGTGCCCTTCCTCCATTTCTTCCACAGTCACCGGAGCCACATTCCCACTCCCTGTCAGCTGCTTAATCTCCCCCTCAGAATCAGGGCATGACACTCAGGCTGTTCTTGTGCTAGGCCTTCCTAGGCTTTTTTTTTAAATCAAGGAAGGGCCAATAGGTGCGGGTGACTTACCAACAATCACCCACTTGTTTTTGACTGCCGACCACAGCGCCCAGCACTGGAGGAGCTTCTGCAGGTGAGTGATCAGGTGTCCTGGGCTGTCGTTGTTGGTAGTGAGATGGTGGTTTTCAGGCAACACAGATAGCAGGGGGACATCCCCCATTTCTAGAGCGACTGGCCAGAAAAGAGAAGGGAAGGTTGCGTTGAAGTGCATGACACAAACGCCACAGACCACATTAAAGCTCTCTAGATACCAAACGAAGCAAAGCGGTCCAATTTAAAAGATCACCAATATTTATTCCAAAGGATACTTAAGTCACTACTATGGGTTCATCGGAGCCAACAATGGCCTGAATTCTATTTTTCATAGAAGGGGTGAACCTAGAAGAATTGCTCTGATCTCAAAGCCATCTTGATGCTCTTCAAGATCCTGAAAAACCCAACCTGATCCAGACCAATTGCACCACTTCAGCCAAGACCAAAAATCTACCTAGCCTTACTTTGCAAAGACCCAGTTCTCAGACCTCAGAAGAGCAAAATAATTCTACCATCTTATTCTGGGCAAAGAGATGATTGGGGAGCACGGGGCATTCAACAATAACTTAATTATTGCACAAGTTATTACACAATAACTTAATTAACCCTCGTTTAAACATGAGCCAGCAGCGTGTGGTGGCAGCCAAAAAAGGCTAATGCAATCCTTGGTTGTACAGAGGCATGGAATCAAAATCCCATGAAATATTAGTATAGCTTTAGAAATCCTTAGTAAGGCAGCCCCTGGAATACTGCATCCAATTTTGATCACCATAAGCACAAAAAAAGATGTTGAGACTTTGGGGAAAGTGCAAAGAAAAGCAACGAAGATGATTAAGGGGCTGGAGACTCAAATATATGAAGAACGATTGCAGGAATTTGGGGATGGCTAGTCTAGAGAAAAGAAGGACCACGAGAGCAGTATTCCAGTATTTGAGGAGGGGGTCAAATTATTCTCCAAAGCACCAGAGGGCAGGACAAGAAACAATGGATGGAAATTAATCAAGGAGAGAAGCAACTTGGAACTAAGGAGAAATTTCCTAATAGTGAGAACAATCAGCCATTGAAACAGCAGAAGTTGTGGTTTTTCTACTTGCATCACTGGAGGTTTTCCCAATGCTAGCAATGCCTGAAATGATATAGGGTCACCTGCTTGAGTAGGGGGTTGGACTAGAAGACCTCCAAGGTCCTTTCCAGTTCTACTCTGATTGACTGAACTGAGACATCTCTAGGAAGGAGACACAGATATCTGGCTTGGCTTGGGAACCAAGTGGGTACTGAGGTGTGTGGGGAGCAATATTTGCACCCCGTTATCCATCCCTTACCTGGCTCCTCCTCCACATTCAGCAGGGGGATGTCATCATCCAGGTAAGGCAGAGTGCCCAGGCCTGACCTGCCAGCCACTGCCAAGGAGACAAACAGGCCGTCCGAGCTTTGCAAAGCACTTTCCTTTGTGCATTTTTTACTGCACCTGCAGACCAGGGAGAAAGCAACACCAAATGAATCTGGACGGCGCTCTCTGTCCAGGTGAGACAGCTGCACCCGGCTTTGTTGGCGGAGCGGAGTGGGCAGACCAGCCGAGCCGCGAAACAGCTACATACCAGGCAAGGATCAGGTGCCCCTGGTGTCCGAGCAATTACCGTCGCTAATGCCTTGGGCATGGGGCCGGAAAGAGAAGTGGGGGGGGCTGTCTGGAGCCCCCTCCCAGGCATCTGGATTCATTCACCACATTGTTGAACATTATGCTTGCCAGATTTCAGTTAAAGGTAAAGGTTCCCCTTGCACCTGTGTGCTAGTGGTTTCCAACTCTAGGGGCCGGTGCTCATCTCCGTTGCAAAGCCGAAGAGCCAGAGCTGTCCGAAGACGTCTCCGTGGTCAATGTGGCCGGCAGGACTAAACACCGAAGATGCACGGAAGGTCGCTGTTCCCTTCCCACCAAAGGGGTCCCTATTTTTCTACTTGCATTTTTTTAACGTACTTTCAAACCGCCAGGTTGGCAGAAGCTGGGACAAGGAACGGGAGCTCACTCCGTTACGCGGCAATGTTAGGGATTCGAACAGCCAAACGGCCGATCTTTCTGATCGACAAGGTCAGCGTCTTAGCCCCTGAACCACGCACGGTTTTGGGTAATGGAGAAAATTTGGGAAGCACTGGCTGGTTTTTCCTGCACTTTTCTCCTGGTTTTATACTCATCTTGAAGGAAGAATAGGCGATCAAGCGCCTTCTAAAAGAGAACAGCACCTGAGTGAATTCTTTCGGGTGGACCCCGGTAATCTAGCTAAATCAATTCCTTTGGCTCGAGAGGCGCAGCTGCTACTGCAGCCCTGCTTCGCAAAGTGGATTTATTTTTTTCTTTAATTTAAAAGAGATTCGATTGGCCTTACCTGGCCTGGCAGGTGTTTTCCAGCGAGGACCAGTAGAGAGACCAAATCCCCAGGGCAGCTGGCATGGTGAAGAGGACTCCAACCCAACAGCAGGAGACGATCAAGGACATGAAGAGACCAAAGTCATGGACAGCTGGGATCTAGGAAAGAGACAGGGGGGGAAGGGAAGAGGCGAGTAATCACCTCCAGGAGATCAAAGGAAGCCCCGCTTTAAGAGATAAATCTAGAATTCTTCTAATTGCTATGAAGAAGCTTGGGAGCCTTTACAATGACTTTCAGTTGGGTGGACTTCAACTCCCAGAATTCCCCAACCAGCCATGATGGCTGGGGAATTCTGGGAATTCCAAGTCCACCCATCTTAAAGTAGCCAAGTTTGGGAAGCATTGCTTCAAGAGAAAGAGGTACACCTGGAACTGCTCTTCTAATGGCTCACCTGGGAAAAGATGTTGGCGGCATACGCCGCAGCTGTGGTTAAGGAGGTGAAGAAGGTGGCCTTGCCAGCCGTCTGGATGGTGTAGATCATCCTGAGGTTGAGGTCTTTCAGGTGGGTGGCCTGCCGGTAGGTGTTGATGAAGACAAAGACATCGTCCACCCCTGAGAAATGGCACAGAGAAGGACCACCATTAGGAGGCCAGGTTTTGGGGGGGGGATGGAGAGCGGCTCCTGACCCGGTCGGATCATCTCGTACCGATGCCCACGATGACAAAGGCCGCCACTCCATTCAAGATGCCCAGGTACTGGATTCCGAAGACAATGTGGTACAGGAAAAGGGCCACCAGGCAGCTGATCCCAATGCTAGCAATGCCAAAAAACGACAGGAAGACTGGAGGAGGAAAAGGGAGGAAGAAAGAACAGATAACAGATTAACGGAGTTGGAAGGGACCTTGTAGGTCATCTAGTCCAACCCCCCCGCCCAAGCAGGAGATCCTACACCATTTCTGACAGATGGCAGTCCAATCTTTTCTCGAAAGCTTCAGGGATGAAGCTCCCACAACTTCCGAGGGCAACTTCTGTTCCACGGGTTGATTGTTCTCACTTGTTCAGAAAATGTCTCCTTATCTCCAGGTTGAATCTCTCCTTGTTCAGTTTCCATCCATTGTTCCTTGTCTGGCCTTCGGGTGCTTTGGAGAATAGCTTGACCCCTTCCTCCTCTCTGTGGCTGCCCCTCAAATATTGGAAGTCTGCTCTCCTGTCTCCCCTGGTCCTTCTCTTCCCTAGACCAGCCATGCCCAGTTCCTAAAACCATTTTTCATGTTTTAGCCTCCAGTCCCCTTAATCATCCTGGTTGTTCTTCTCTGCACTCTTTCTAGAGCCTCAACCTCTTTTTTATAGTGCGGTGACCGAAACTGGAGCGGTACTCTAGGTGTGATCTTACTAAGGCCTTATAAAGTGGTTTGATTGGCTCACGGCAATCCGTCAAAGTGGAGATAAAAAGAATATAATCCTTCTTCCGGGCCCCAATCCAAACCGGGGGGCCCCAATGCTGGGGGTTCACTCCAGAGGTGGGTCTTCAGCAGGTTCTGACCGGTTCTGGAGAACCAGTAGCGGAAATTCTGAGTCGTTTGGAGAACCAGCAAATCCCACCTCTGACTGGCCCCGCCCTCATCTCTTCTCCGCCTCCCATTGAGTCCCAGCTGATTGGCTGGGTCTCCTTTGGTTGCCCTGCCCAGGAGAACGGAGCTGGAAAGCAGGTTAGTGGGGGTGGGGGGGCAAGGGGGATTTTGCAGTATATCCTTCCCTGCCACGCCCACCAAGCCAAGGCACACCCACAGAACCGGTAGTAAACATTTTTGAATCCCACCCCTGGTTCACAGCACCCTCCTAAGCGCTGGAAGGTGGAGATCCCTCCGGTCCCAGGTGTGTGTGTGTGTGTGTGGGGGTGTCCCAGGAGCAGAGGAGAGGCCGTTCCCCTTACCTGAACACGATGCCAGGAGGTAGACCAACACCGCAATGCAGGAGCTGCTGATGAAGGCCAGCAACATGTCGTTCTTGAAAATCTTCCTCACTTCGTAATCAAACAGATCCGTCCCGCCATACAGAACCTCCACTTTGCTGCAGGAAAAAAAAAAAAAAAGCACAGGAGGTTGGCCCGACACGTTTAACTTGGTTAAACTTGACATATAGGCAGTCCCCGGACTTACAGTGGTTCGTTTAGTGACTGTTCAAAGTTGCAACAGGACTGATGACCCCCTTTTCACACTTAGTGACTGTTCAAAGTTGCAACAGGACTGATGACCCCTTTTTCACACTTACTGACTGTTGCGGCGTCTGCCACGGGTCACGTGATTTACATTCGGGGGTTTGGCAAACCGACTTATGACAGTAGCCGTGTCCCGGGGTCTCCCTTTGCAACCTTCTGGCAAGCAGAATCCACCGGGAAGCCAGATTTGCTTAACAGCCGCGCCAACTGATTTCACAATGAAAGGGATTCACTTAACCAACGTGGCAAGAAAAGTCGTCCAACGGGACGAAACTTGCTTAACAAATTTCTCGCTTTGCGACATACGTTGTGGGCTCAATTGTGGTTAGTAAGTCGAGAAGTTACCTGTCATTCTTTACTAGGTTGCATAACAGGATGAAGGCTCAGTAGCCAAACCCTGATTTGTGCGATGACCCAGGGTGGGATGCAAAAGCAACAGAGTCACACAAACAGGAGGAAATCCCTTTAATTCCTTCAACTTTGGCTTCAAAGGTCCAATT